GAAGGGACAGGTTAAAGAAGGATTTTTAAGTCTTGAGACAATTGAGACATGGATTGTGTATGTGTGCCATTCAGAGGGTGAATGGGCAAGACAAAAGATTGAAGTGCCTTTGAAAGGTGTATGGTAGTAGGTGCCAGGTGCACCAGTTTGAGTGTGTCAAGAACCTCAACGCTGCTGTTTTTCACGCTCAACAGTTTCCTGTGTGTATGATGAATGGTCCACCACCCAAAGGACATCCAGCCAACTTGACACAACTGTGGGAACCATTGGAGTCAACATGGACCAGCATCCCTGTGGAATGTTTTCGAATTGAGGCTTTTCTGAGAGCTAAATGGGGGTGCAACTCAATATTAGGAAGGTGTTCCTAATGTTTTGTACCCTCAGTGTATATATATATATATATATAGCACCTTGATTAAATACTCAATATATAACTGACTTACTTTCAGTGTAGTGGGATTACACAACAATGTATTCACTGTTAAACAGAGTGCAGGGGAATCCCTGAACACACTAGGACCCTAGCTGTCATCTCACATTTGGAGACATGATGAGTTTATGTACAGTGAGGTCCAAAAGTATTTGGACAGTGACATTTTTTGTTGTTGTTTTGGCTCTGTACTCCAGCACTTTGGATTTTAAGTGATACAATGTCACAGAGGCATTCATAAACATATTATATTTAAATATGTTACCCATGTTGTTTGAGGCTTACAATAGCATTAGCCTGGATAGCTAGCAGAAAACTGTAGCTGTTGCTAGGCGCTACTGTTACTGCTAGCTAGCTATACCCCAGTGGGGAAAAGACACAGAGAGGCTATCTAGAGGATCATAGTTGGCACACAGGATAACAATGAAATAAAGCAGACTGTTTGCAGACTGTTTGCCCAAGTGTTCCTTCCTCCTGCGTATTACAACCATTCCAAAGGGAGGGTGATAAAATGGATATGAGAGAGAGAGAGAGAGAGAGAGAGAGAGAGAGAGAGAGAGAGGATAGAGAGGAGAGAGAGAGAGAGAGAGAGAGAGAGAGAGAGAGAGAGAGAGAGAGAGAGAGAGAGACTAACACTTTTACATACTTTAATTAACGGGGAGATGTGTGTGTTTTTCTCTGTGTGTGTGTTTGTTTGTGCCAACCTGTCGTTCAGAAATGTATCACTAAGCAATTGTTATGTAATATTACTGCTGTATAATCAACTTACAGTATATCACATTCCCTCATTAAAACAAAGTTGCATCATCCTTTCCCCCTTATGGTCTTACATCTCAATAGCAACAGTGGCTAGTAGCTATTTATAATCAATCTGGGGACTGAGGAAACTTCAAGGCACAGACCTAGACAAACCAGGATATCTGGTAATTTCCTCCTCTCTTTATTGAGGCCTGCTAGAATGCGTCCCAAATGGCACCCTATCCCCTATATTGTGCACTACTTTTGACCAGAGCTCTATGGGCCCTACACAGGGAACAGGGTGCCATTTGGGATGCAACCCTAGACAGCCAATAACCAGATACATAAGGAAAGCAGCAATAACCCCTCTGTGTATATGTAGACTGTCTGGAAGTAGAAATAGTCAAACGTTGTCCAATGGAGCAGACAGGTGCTAGCCTACATATCAAAGAGGTTTAAAAGCAATTAACACCTTACCTAAGGGCATTGTTCACAGAAGGCCTTCATAAGATTCACATTGATAATGCCTGTCTAGCGGTGAAGTGTTTTCATGACTAGGGCCCGGAGCGTTTCCTGACTTGATTAAACTGTGGACCCTAGTTATTATAGGCTATCACAAGGGCCCAGAGTATTTCCTGGTTGGGTCACTCGGTCAGGGATAGTAAAAAAAAAGGTGGTTAATGCAAATAGGCCAGGGAGCCAGTCTTATGGCTTGGGGGTAGAAGCTGTTCAGGAGCCTTTTGGTCCCAGACTTGGCGCTCCGGTACCACTTGCCTTGAGAGCAGAGAGAACAGTCTTTGACAATTTTTAGGGCTTTCCTCTGACACCGCCTGGTATAGAGGTCCTGGATGGCAGGGAGCTCGGCCCCAGTGATGTACTGGGCCGTACACTGGGTCCCAAAAGGGTTCTTCAGCTGTCCCCATAGGAGAACCCTTTTTGGTTTCAGGTAGAACCCTTTTGGGTTACATGTAGAACCCACTGTGGAAAGGGATCTACATGGGACTGTTAAGGGGTTCTACCTGGAACCAAAAGGGTTCCACCTAGTTATTCAAAGGGCTCTCCTATGGGGACAGCCAAATAACTAAATCTGTGTGTCTAAATAAATCTGTCACCACCTTCCGGAGACACTTGAAACCCCACCTCTTTAAGGATGATGGATATTGCTCTGCTCTGGGAGGATGGTGAGGTATCCTGAATATAGGCATAGTAAGGCAAAGGTCTAAACTACACTGTAGTCCTATTCTGCAGCTCAACACTTAGTTTCGGGTCTGTTGCACACAACCTACCTGAAGATTGTGACTGTGCAGCTGACCGAGCAAAATTTTTCTCTAACCCCTGAATGATAAATACTAAAAATAACTTGAATCTCTTTTGAGTTGCGACGCTACCGTTGGGCGCAATATTAGCATAAGGTGGAATACCCTGTTAAACCCCCTATACTTAGCCCCTTGTATTGATACTGTGATATGTTAGGCTAAATCTGTGTGTTGATAGGCCTAAGTGTTGTGTATGTGAACTAACTGTTCTAATGTAGCGTGTGAGCAATAAGCCAGGTGAGGAGTCAGTGCTCCACCCATATGATGCGTCCCAAATGGCACCCGCTTACCTTTATAGGGCACTACTTTTGACCAGAGCCTGTTCAAAAGTAGTGCACTATAAAGGGAATAGGGTGCTATTTACAGGGATTACAGCCTTGAGTCTTCTTGGGTATGACGCTACAAGCTTGGCACACCTGTATTTGGGGAGTTTCTCCCATTCTTCTCTGCAGATTCTCTCAAGCTCTGTCAGGTTGGATGGGGAGCGTTGCTGCATAGCTATTTTCAGGTCTCTCCAGAGATGTTCGATCGGGTTCAAGTCCGGGTTCTGGCTGGGCCACTCAAGGACATTCAGAGACTTGTCCAGAAGCCTCTCCTGCGTTGTCTTGGCTGTGTGCTTAGGGTTGTTGTCCTGTTGGAAGGTGAACCTTCGCCCCCAGTCTGAGGTCCTGAGCACTCTGGAGCAGGTTTTCATCAAGGATCTCTCTGTACTTTGCGCCGTTAATCTTTCCCTCGATCCTGACTAGTCTCCCATTCCCTGCCGCTGAAAAACATCCCCACAGCATGATGCTGCCACCAGCGTGACGCTTGGCATTCAGGCCAAAGAGTTCAATCTTGGTTTCATCAGACCAGAGAACCTTGTTTATCATGGTCTGTGAGTCCTTTAGGTGCCTTTTGGCAAACTCCAAGTGGGCTGTCATGTGCCTTTTACTTAGGAGTGGCTTCCGTCTAGCCACTCTACCATAAAGGCCTGTTTGGTGGAGTGCTGCAGAGATGATTGTTCTTCTGGAAGGTTCTCCCATCTCCACAGAGGAACTCTGGAGCTCTGTCAGAGTGACCATCGGGTTCTTGGTCACCTCCCTGACCAAGGTCCTTCTCCCCCGATTGCTCAGGAAGAGTCTTAGTGGTTCCAAACTTCTTCCATTTAAGAATGACGGAGGCCACTGTGTTCTTGGGGACTTTTAATGCTGCAGAAATGTTTTGGTACCCTTCCCCAGATCTGTGCCTCGACACAATCCTGTCTCGGAGCTCTACGGACAATTCCTTCGACCTCATGGCTTGGTTTTTGCTCTGACATGCACTGTCAACTGTGGGACCTTATATAGACAGGTTTGTGCCTTTCCAAATCATGTCCAATCAATTGAATTACCACAGGTGGACTCCAATCAAGTTGTAGAAACATCTCAAGGATAATCAATGGAAACAGGATGCACCTGAGCTCAGTTTCGAGTCTCATAGCAAAGGGTCTGAATAGTATTTATTTTTATTTATTTTTGTAATAAATTTGCACACATTTCTAAAAACCTGTTTTCACTTTGTCATTATGGGGTATTGTGTGTAGATTGATGAGGATTTTTTTATTTTTTAATCCATTTTAGAATAAGGCTGTAACAGTAAAAAATGTTTTTTTTTTTTTAAGTCAAGGGGTCTGAGTACTTTCCAAATGCATTGTACCTATGGTTTGCATAACGGAACATCGCTCTCCTCTGACGTGCTGAACTATGTGCTTTTTAAACACGATGGGGAAGCCAGGGAGAGATGGAAGGAGGAGGAGGATAAGCAATGGAAGGAGAAAGTGCCAGGAGAATTTTCTAGACTTCCCCCTCCCTCCCTCTCCTTCCCTCCTTCCCTCCTTCCCTTCATCCGTCAGGCCTTATCTGAGCTGGGGGAGGATGAGTGATGGAGTGGAACTAGAGCCCCTCTTGTCTGTTTTCTCTCTCTGCATTTCCTTCTCTATCCTTCCCCTGTTGCTCACTATTTCTCTATTGTCCTCTCTCTTGCGCCCCCTCTCTCTCCCTCTACCCCACTCTCTTTCTCGCTCTCTCTCTCTCTCCCCCTACCTCTTTTTCTCAGTACCTCTGTTATTATGCCCTCTGGTCATATTTTCTGTCACACACAATGAGCACATAGAACTGCTCTTCTCTCTCTCTGATGTTCAGTCTCTTTCCTAGACCAACCCTGCCTAAATGAATGTTTACAATTACACACTCTTGCTCTCTCTCCCTCTCGCTTTTTGGCTCTCTTTTTCTCTTGCCCTCTCTCTCTCTTCTCAAAATCCAGGAAGCTGTGCGGGGTAGGGTTCCGTCACACTCGGTCTCTCTTTTTTTATTTCTGTCAGTCTCTCGCCTCGCGTTCTTTTCTCGTCTCTCGACCAGGCAGCCTCTTCCCTCTCTAGTTCTCCTGTTTCTCTTTCTTCCCTTTTGAAGAGGGAAGTTGGCGGTGGATTTGAGCAGGGAGAGATAAAGCAGTGCTCTAGGGGGTAGACTTTCAGAGAGAGAGGTAGGAAGGGAGGGGTGATGGCGAGCGAAGAGGCGATGGGGGAGAGCCCGGGGGAGTGGTCGGAAGACAGCGGTCATCCTGACATGGCGGTAGGGTTCAAAGAGCGTGTATATACTGTACTGTCAGCGTGTGTTACTGTGGTTAGTGTTTGTGCCTTCTTTCCCGTGTGTGTGTGTGTGTGTGTGTGTATGTGTGTGTATCCAATATGTGTGTCTTGGTACATTCAATTCAGATGTGTCTGTATTGTTGAGTTTCTGGGTCTCTTGTTTATGTCAGTTTGCCTTACAGGCAGCTGTTTGCTTCCCTTATTGTCTACTTGCTATTCTTTCCCTCCACGTCCACTTCTCATAATGTTTTTTTTTTCCTTCTGTTTTTAAATTGCTTTCTATTTCCCTCCCCTCTCTGGCTGAATGACTAGGCTATTTCTCCTCTTGTCTGGGTCTCCCATCTCTCCTCTTTGTCCTGCTGGCTACATTCGTTTTGTCTTCTGTCCGTCCTGCTCTCTCTCCTCTCTCTCCTCTCTCCTCTCTCTCTCTCTCTCTCGTCTATCCTCTCTCTCTTCTCTCTCTCTCTCTCCTCTGTTTCTCTTTGTTTCTCTTTCTCCCTCTCTCTTTCAACATGTCACCGGCCCCAGCTGGCGTCATCTCTCTCTCTCTTCCTCTCTTACTGGCCCCTCCTGTGTTTCTCTTTTTTTGTGTTGGCTTTCCACTTCCCCTCTCTCTTAGTCCCTGCTCTCTCATTTTCTCCATGTCTCCTTCACTCTTTCTCTCTCTCTCTCTCCTCTCCTGGTCTACCCTTCTCTATCACCTCTTCATTCTCTCTCTTCTCTCCTCTCGCTCTCCTCCTCTCTCTCGTTCTGCGGGCTGCTACTACTGAGGCTATGCAGTAAAGCTTCAGGTGTTGCGCTCTCGTTCTTCTTCTCTTCCCTCTCTTCTCTCTCTCTCTCTTCTCTCTCTCTCTCTCCCTCTCTCTCTCCAAGCCCTGGGGATGACATGCTCTTTCCACTTGTTTTTCCTGTCTCTCAACATCTCCCCTGTCTGCCTTCTCATCCAGTTTATATGTTGTTGTTTTTTTGTATATGTGGCAACTGGTTATTCCCTGCTGTTGCAAATAGGCGAACAGAAAGATGTGACCATGTGGCACGTGATGAGCGGGAAAAGACTGTTGATTAGGCCTAGTAAGTTATTAACTTATTTAGCGTTGTTGTGTGTGGGGTGATAACTGTGGGAGGACAGAGTAGGAAATGACTGTTACCTATGAGGGCCCCTGTGTTCTAAACGTATAGCGGACTTGTATTTCTCCTCCTAACACACAAAACTTTCCCTTTGGAGTGGTACACACACACACACACAGTCGCACAAACACACACACTCCTGTCAGAGAGACTCTTTGTAGCATAAAGACAGGTGTAATAAGTATCTGCTCTTTATTTGGACCGGCAACCAGGACACACACTTTGTCAGTGCCACTGCTTTGGCGTCTTAATCAAGTTTTTCACCCAAGTTTGTATATGTCTGGTGACCCTGGAAGACTTCCCAAGATGGACGACCTGTGAGCTCCATTACATCACAATGGAATGGAGTCGCAGGGGAATGTCAAGGGTTCACAGCGCTGTATCTGGGTTCTCTTACCGTTACTGGCTTCACACACACACACACACACACACACACACACACACACACACACACACACACACACACACACACACACACACACACACACACACACGACAGGGGATGAAGTATGAGTCCAGTCAGTACACAGATCACACCCTCTACAATAACATTACCCTGGCAATGGGTCATGAGTGTCGACACACTTCAGAGACCTGCTGTAATGTAGAGAGTTTAAGTCAGGCCAAGGGAGGGGATTTTGGTGTGTGTGTGTGTGTGAGTGTCAGCTTTCTGTGTGTGTCAGCGTGGGCGACAGTCTCTCGTGCCATTAGTGTGTGTTGACAGTATCTCTGTTCAAATCGTTATTTACATTTACATTTTAGTCATTTAGCAGACGCACTATCTCGAAACAGGAAACTCTGGCAGACTGTTTTCCATCGTGATAACATTCTAATGCACTCTGACCATGTTCTCTCCTTCTCTTCAGTTCCCTGTCTTCTCTCTCTCCTCCGCTGGTCTTATTGAGTTACCCTCTGTTAGCATATAGCTAATGGCACCGCTATCTATTGAATTAGCCAGTCATTACCTCTATGCACTTATCGGTGCTTACTGTGTTGGGGATACCAGATGGCTACTTATTACACATTGCTGTGGTTGTGTGAAAGTCCTTGCGGGTCTAGGAGCAGCTGGACAACTTGCAGTGTTGACAGTGATATAGGCCTAATTCAATTGCCATTTAATTGGAGCTCTGGTGGTGCAGTAAATGGGGTAGGACAAAGGTCAGTTTTGTGTTTTCCCCACTAATGGTCAAGGATTTGGACCTAGCTGATCCTAGGTCTGTGGCGAAGGGCAACTTTTACCCACAGTAACCTCACACACTAACCTCCTCACTTCCTCTATCAGGGTTACTATCTTTTCTGTTCAGCTACAACCCCTCTATATAAAGGATCTAGCTTCGTCATCATTAGTGGGTCGTGACATCTCTTTGTGGTATCAACCTTGGCCTTACTGTTCTAAGGACCAGCTCAGCTAACCTGGGTACCAGACTCTTTCTACATTCAACAACACTGGTTACATCATTGCCTTGCCAGTTGCCACACTGGTGTGGCTATACAACAACACGTTTGCTAAAGCAGAAACAGACTGGCAGCAAGGCTACAGTTCAGACATCCTGTGTACCAGACTCTTTCTGCATTCAACAACATTGCCTTGCCAGCACACAAGACAACACCAAGTTCCTGAAACAGAAACAGACATGGGTTCAGTTCAGGCATCCTGTAGGCCAATGATGTGGTAGAACACAACAAAACAGCACAGTCATGGTGAATCCCCAGGCAACTCAACACCCACTGCCTTCTACACCACAGTACAGTGTATCCCTAACCAGGCTAACAGTACAGTGCAGTGCAGTGAGTGCACCAGCCAGTCTGTAGAGCGAGAGGTTTTCTCGCCTCGCTCTCTTCCTCCATGCTTCACAGACACAGCAGCAAACTTTGTCATCTTTAATTCAGGTCGCGGCGGCCCGAAGACCTTGCAAGCCTCCCACCCACTCAGTCTGGGCCCCGAGCACCTCCCCAGGGTCCTAGAGCCGCACTAACCGCTAACATTAGCATCTCCTATCATATCAGATGGATGTTGGCACTAGCTAGCCATTAGCCCCAGGGTTCTAGAGTGAGTTCACCAGGAACCACAGGCAGAGAGTGCTAACGGCTAACTTTAGGTTAGCCGCTCCCATCATATCAGATGGATGTTGGCGCTAGGTAGCCGTTAGCCTCTTCCTATCATATCAGTTGGATGAGGCGCTAGCTAACCGTTGGCCTCTTCCTGTCATAATGATCTGGATGAGGCGCTTGCTAACCGTTAGCCTCACTTCCTCCTCCTTTCTTGTAATGTGAGCTAACAGCCGGGGCCAGGATGTTCGCTTGCTCGCTTCTCTGCTCTGTTTCTCCTCCTCCCTCCTCCTCCCTCTTGTTAGTTTTTAGTGGCCACGGCACTCAGTCTGGTGCACATTATGAGCTCAGAGGAAGTCAAAGGTCAAAAGGGCCCATCCTCCCATACTTATTTAACTGGCCCCGTTCCAATAGTTTTGAAGTGTGTCCTTCCTTCCATCCTTCCTTGAGGTAATCACTAATCACGGATGTAACACGTTTTGATAGGTGCTTTCCCACTCCCAGCTATGTCTATTAGTAGCTAGGTTTCCATCCAATTGGTCGACAGATTTTCATGAGAATATTCTAAAATCTGCATAAAGAAAATATGCACATTTTCCCACCAGTTGTGTTTCCATCAAACTGACTTGTTGCAGATCAAAATCAGTGCGTGATGACGTAGTGCACACAATATACTATTTAGCTTAAGTTTTTGTGTACCGAATAAAAATCAAATGTTCATTGTGTTTCCATTGCATTTTCAACTCTACCGATAGTTTTGCTGTTGCGTTAAATAGCAAATGTGCCTACTCTGGTCTTGGTACGTGCGCTCTAGCCAACAGCTCCCAGATACAGTGCGGGTAGTCTACACGATGAGATTAGTGGATAAGCACAATAATGTTTTTATTTGTCAAAATGGCAGTCAAGCATCGATCAACATGTCACCAGAATAAGACCCTCGACATTTATTGGAAAGGCGCATCAAGCTCATACCGTGCTTATTTCATCTGTAGCTTAATTTAATCTGCATGGTTTCTCGAGTCGTAGTGGGAGGACCACACACCATGTCATCGCGTGCCTCCAAGTTTACTTCGATATGATGGTTATTATATAAATATTTGCACATAAAGGCGTTTCCACCGCCATTTCTTGCATAATACATTTTACCGACCCAAAAAGATCCCACCATGTCGAACGGACAAATTATCTGTCGGTATTTATACAATTTTACCGACACTTCCTGTGTCGATCACAGCTGTCTGGATTTGTTTTGGAAACGCTATGACTTTACTCACATAAAAACAGTGGGTGGAAACGTGGTTAGTCATTTACTTCAAAGAAGAGAGGACGGAAGGATGCATTTTAGTATGTTTGGAACGGGGCCCTCTCCCTCTCTCTCTCTCCCTGATAGCAGAGCTACACAGGCAGGAACAGGAAGGGCCTGAGCTGGTGTGGGACGGATATCCTGTCCCCCCTAACGTTATTCCTCTACAACCCCGACTCTATCTTTTCCTTTCTGTTTCTCTGCTCTAACTCAATGAGCCTTGGTGTGGTTTTAGCTAACGGTGTTGTCAGAGGTTCTCTGTCGCTGTGGTCTGGCGGTTGTTATTTGAAGGTGAAAGGGGACTATGTGTTGGCATGGCGATGGGCTGTTTGAGGACTACGACAGCCAGGAGGTGATGTGTTGTTGTTTGTGTTGTTTTTGTATTGCTTACGGTTTTGCGGGGACAGGGCTGTGATTTCTCTAGCAGTGATTCATTCAGTCTTTTGCTGGTTTCCTGATTGTTTGGCTGGTTTGCTGGCTGGCTTTCTCCCTGAGGGAATTGCAGCTTGTGGTAACCACTGTGTCTCTGACTGTGCAGTCAAGCTCCGATTTAGAGCTCATAACATTGGCAATTTCAGGGGGGACTGTGGACCAGAGAGATGTGAAGTCTTGAACGTTGTAACTAGCTATCATCCTCCTGAAATATGTATCTAGCCTACATTTTCGTTTTCTAAAAACACATTTCTATCCTCTCTTTCCCATTTCCATCCTCTCCCTCTTTCTCTTCTGTTACCCCCCTTTCCTCTCTCTCCCTTCCCCTTTTCACCCCTCATCCTTCCCCTCCCTCTTCCCCCTATCCAGAGTGACCCAGGTGGGCTGTCCGTCTTAGAGCAGCTGGGTCTGGACCAGAGCTCGGACTTCTCAGACACCACGGTGCAGCACCGTCTTGATGAGCAGAGGGAGAGGATCCGCAGGGAGATCAGGAAGGAGCTGAAGATCAAGGAGGGGGCTGAGAACCTCCGCAGGGCCACCACCGATAAGAGGAATGCCTCTCAGGTAGGCTAGGTTCCCTCCCCTTACAATCTTAGTAGAAGTCCCCCCTCTTACAATGTAATATAATAGTTTTGTTTTCATTTTATTGTGTTTATTGGGTCTCATCAAATAAAGCGTAGGGCATTACATAGAGTATAAGTTAACATAATGACACAACACAAGGTATTACACATTCACTGACAAACATTGATGTAAAGTGCTATGAGCATTGGAAAGGTGCTATATAAATGGAATCTGTTGTTGTGTGTTATTTATTAGGTGGATTCCCAACTACGCAGCTCCAACCGTAAGCTGGAAGACCTGCATGCTCAGTTACAGGAGCTGGACGCTCACATCATGGTCAAGGGAGGCGACGACAACAAGGGTATGTTTTAGATGATTCCATTTATACTTTGTGTTTTATGTGTCGCCCATGCTTAGTCGTAGCCATGCATGTATGAAAGGGAGATTTTGGGTTGTCACGATAGATTTACCTCAAGGGATTGCAATGACAACATGTATCTGACCTTTGACCGCAGATGACCCACCCCAGTCCCCGGGGTCGGAGAGCCGCTCGTCAGCAAGCCAGTACCGCATCGCCGCCCTGGAGAGACAGCTCAACATCGAGCTCAAGGTCAAACAGGGAGCCGAGAACATGATCCCCATCTATGCCAACGGATCCACCAAGGTACTGTCCTCCCTAACGACCCATTTGCTGATTCCTTACCTCTGTACTTACCGCACCTCTTTCCTCCCTCCCCCATCTGCTGATTGTCCTTGTCTCCTGTCACCTCAGGTCTCTGATTGTCCTTTTTCCTATGTCCTCCCTGCTTAAATGTATGCCGTAATCTACAGTGATCTGAAAACACAGAACCAGGAAAAGCAACATGGTGGATGCATACCAGGATTTAGCTTTCACCTGCATATGTATGTCACATCAGTGCAGAGGCTGAGAAGGAAATAAAATAAAGCAATTTAGACTTGAGATGATTCCTTGCTGTCTCTGGCCTCATCATATCTTCTACTTCCTGTCATGTGACCTGGGTCTTGACGTCCTGTGTCTTTCTCCTCCTCCTCCTCCTATCAGGATAAGAAGATGCTGCAGACGGCCCAGCAGATGCTGCAGGACAGCAAGACCAAGATCGACATCATCCGCATGCAGATCCGCAAGAACGTGCAGGCCTCTGAGCACACCGAAGACACACAGGGTAGGACAGTGTATACTTACCTGTCTGTGTCCATCTGTCTGGGCGTCCATCTCTCTGTTTGTCTGTGTCTGTCTGTCCATTTATTTGTCTGATTTGCGGGTCAATACTTTGTCACTGTCCAACCGTCTGCCTGCAAATGTGTCTATCTATTTTTGACTGTGGAGATAAAATGTGTCTTGGAGGTACAGGTTTTGTCTGTGCGGCTATAAGGTTGTCAAATGCCAGTTCAGTCAAAAGGCCATAAATCCTGCCCAGCTCTACCCTCTCCCAATGTACAATATATTCATCTCCCTCCTCCTGAGTAGCCAACTAGCCGTGTATCCGTCCAGACTGAGACGAGGCTAACAGTAAACAGATCAATACCCTACAGCCTCGGGGACTGTCTGGACGGTTCTCTCCTGGAGTGAGGAGAGCAGCGAGACTCATTGACATCCTGTGTGTGTCTGTCTCTCGCTCTCTCAAAGCTATGGGCTCAGCAGAAACTGGAGAGAAACACGCATACAAACGCTTTTGCACACAAACACTGACTCTCAAAGTACATGCTACATACGCACACCCGTACTCACACACACACACACACATGCACACTAGCACTCATCGCGCATTATAAGTTAGCAGGCGATCGATGAATGTCAATGGCAGCAGGGCACATGAATGGGCCTTTATGGGCCCTCCATCCTCAGGAATCAGGTAATGGGGTCATCTGGAGAAGAGAGGGATTGATGGAGGTCAAGAGAGGTAGATGGAGGGAAAGGAGGAAGGAGGAGAGAGGAACTGAAAGCTATTTGGAGGGATTTTAAGGATAATGTATTCCTATGGGCAGGCTTTTTCTGACGTACTCATCTGTACCCAAAGGAACTAAGAACCATTTGTGGAGGGATTTTATGGCTAGTGAGGATAGGGTATTCCCTATGGAATATGTCTTCCAGGTTTTTTCCTCATCACTGGTTAGAAGCACTTCTTTAACTTTCAAATGTAGTCATATATGGAGAGGGATCATCGTTCAAATGTAGCAGGGTGAATGTGGTGTTGAGGATGGGATTTTCACCCTCAGTGACTTTAGTGGCCCTCCACTTACACACACACTTGCAAAAACAGACCCCCATCACACACTCACCTAAAGGTAAACACACACTCCCTCTGTGTATATACTGTACACACACATGCGCCCGCGCACTTACACACACACACACACACACACCCTTTAAGGTCAGTCAGAAGGGTCCCTGGCACCCAGCCGAAGACCTTATTAGGAGATAAAGGAATTCAACCACATACTCACCCCCACCTACCTTTCTCTCTTGTGTCTGTCTCTCTCTCTCTCTCTCTCTCGCTCCCTCTCTCGCTCCCTCTCACTCTCTCTTTCTCACTCCCTCTCTCGCTCTCTCTCTCGCTCTCTTTTTCATTCAACCACATACCCAGTTCTCTCCTGTGTCTGCCCCTCTCTCCTGTGACTCTCTCTCTTCCTTCCCCCTCTCTCACTCCTCACCCACCTCTGTCACTCTCTCCTTCACTCTCTACCTCTGTCCTTCCCCTCCCTCTGTCTCTCTCTCTGTCTGTCTCTCTCTCTGTCTGTCTCTCTCTCTGTCTGTCTCTCTCTCTCTGTCTCTTTCCTTCTCCCTACAGTTTACACTCTAAACCAATACAGGACATCCAAAGGGTCTTACTGTTTTATCCTCTGCTTTATTCCAACACATACTGATGCAATGTCTCAACCCCTCTGCTATTCAGCAGTCTGTGTCATCTTGACGTTATGTTCCAGTACTCCTGGAGAGAAACCATATTTACCCTGTCTCCTTTAATACAGTACCAGTGACAGGGGAAAGCAGAATGGTGGAAAGACCGTTCCAGTCTGTTCACCTGTTAAGTCAGTTCAGATTAGTGGTTGTGACAGAAAGCATAAAACACAGTACCTAAACTCCACTCCACTCCACTCACCCCCTTTCTCTCAGGGGTAGAGTTTTCAAGATAAATCAAAAATTCCAGATATTATTTATTTTTATTTTTTACCTCTGAGTATATCAGAACACTATTCCTAAATCATTATTGAAGTTAACCTGGTTTTCTATGTCAATCACATGCATTAACAGCATATATGTAGGTCTACTCACTTCATCCCTTCTCTCTCTCTCTCTGTCTCTCTCGCTCTCTCTCTCTCTCTCCTCTCTCTCTCTCTCTCTCCTCTCTCTCTCTCTCTCTCTCTCTCTCTCTCTCTCTCTCTCTCTCTCTCTCTCTCTCTCTCTCTCTCTCTCTCTCTCTCTTTCTCTCTCTCTCTCCCCTCCAGGTAACCATGACATGTGTGGTGTGGAGCTGCGTATTGAGGAGCTGAGGCACCACTACAGAGTAGAACACGCTGTGGCAGAGGGAGCTAAGAATGTCCTCAGACTACTGGGGGCAAGCAAGGTCCAGGATAAGAAGGCCCTGTCAGAGGTACACGCCACATACATGTGTAGATACACACACACACCAGGACATGAACACACAAACACACACCACAGGACTCATTGCGTGCAAACTCACTCTACATGGATGCATATGAGTCCATACATACATGGGTACAAACAGATGAAAATGTGTCCAAACAGAATCTGACAATAAACCTTCTTTTGAAGTTCATTTAAACTTTTTCATGCCTACCGAGCACAACCCTGGTTTGGTGTTTAGGGTCTCACCCCTATCCTTCCATATCCCTGAATCTCTCTACCTGCAGACCCTCTACACAGTACCCACACTCCTGGTCTATTTTCTAGCATCTCACCCCACTTCCCCCCCTCTCATCTCCTCCAGGCCCAGTGTCGTCTGAGCGAGGCGTCCCAGCGGTTGGACCTCCTGAGGGACTCTCTGGACCAGCGTCTGGCCGACCTGCCGGAGGACCACCCCAAGGCCTGCCTCATCAAGGAGGAACTAGTCCTGGCCTCCTCCCCGGCCTTCAGCTCCCGCCACAGCGCCCCCTACTTCCACAACCAGTACAGCACACTTAGCAAGCCCTCCCCACTTACTGGTGAGAGAAACTGGTCTAAATGTGTCAATAGGATTGACTGCACACACTATCAATAGTATCCAGCACATTCAATAATCTAATAATCTAATATACCATTTAGCAGACGCTTTTATCCAAAGTGACTTACAGTCATGCGTGCATACATTTTACATATATTCACACACGTTCTGTTTCACTGGCATCATGCCGTGGCTTATGGATTTTTCTTGATTGTGAACTATTGATAGTGCTTTCATAGCGGTTAGCTTCACAATGCCAAAGTGGGCAAGATATCAAGATTATTTCAAATAAACATTGATATGAGCATCTTTACATCGAGTGATTAAGCTTTTGCTTTAGGTTAGATCGTTTTATCTCGGAACATGACCCATGTTCAATCCCTTTACTCGCGTTCTCTCTCTCTGTCCTCGCCCCCTGTCTCCAGGTACTCTCCAGGTGCAGTTGCTGGGCTGTGTGGGGTTGTTGGAGGAGGTCCCGGGGCGCAGGAAGGGCACGGCGGTCATGCTGCCCTGCTACAGCCCTGGGGAGGGACGCTCCTTCATGAACCGCAGCAACAAGAGCACCCTGTACGGACGCAGTGGGAGCGTCAGCGGCAAGACACCCTGCAAGACTGACGATCTCTCCTGTGAGTGGCTAGGGTAGAGGGGGTGTGTGTGTGTGTGTGTGTCAAATTAACCATACCGTTACCATGAAATTGCCCATATGGATTGTTTATGTAAAGGTGTATTTGTGTAATGTGTGTATAATACATGTATTTGTATTCGTGTGTGTGTAGCGGAGGTGAGTGCGGTGTTAAAGATGGATAACTCAGTGGTGGGTCAGACAGCCTGGAAGAGTGTAGGGGAGCAGGCCTGGGATCAGACCTTCACTGTGGAGCTGGAGAGGGTGAGAGTTCACTCACACAACACCACACACACACACACACACACATATTATACATTCAAACATGCTTACACAAGTACAAATGTCCTCTCTCTCCCTGTCTCTCTCTCACACACATGCACACACGTACTCACTCATACACTCACAAACGCACACAAAAGAAACACAATAACACAAAAGTCTTCACAATCACTCACACACACACACACACACACAAAAGGACCAAACCTCTTCACACACTCTACCTACACTCTTGAGTCCTCTTGAGAGTTCATGCTCTTGTGTATCTAGTGAACCGTCTGTCTGTGTGTAGTCGAACTCTTACTGTCTGTGTATCTAGTCGAACTCTTACGTGTCTGTGTGATCTATCGCCACTTCTTAGTGTCTGGTGTATCTAGTCGTCTTACGTCTGGTGTACTTAGTCCCTCTTACGATGTGTGTATCTTAGTCGAACCTCTTACGTGTCTGTGTGTTCCAGTCCAGGGAGATGGAGATAGCAGTGTACTGGAGGGACTACCGCTCGCTGTGCGCTCTCAAGTACCTGAAGCTGGAGGACTTCCTGGACAACCAGAAACATAGAGTTCAGCTGGAGCTGGAGCCACAGGGGCTGCTTCTGGCTGAGGTAGGTTATAACACATACATGCATACATACACACACACACACACACGCTGTACACTTGGGATCATTAAAGAAGTATCAAAGCTGTGTTTTGGTAAATGAGTTGATAGATCCATTATATAGAGTGCAGGTGTGACGTGTGTGATTTGTTCTTCAGGTGATATTCTTCAACCCGGTGATTGAGAGAGTCCCACGCCTTCAGAGGCAGAAGAAGGTCTTCTCCAAACAGCATGGTGAGAGAGAGCTAGAAGAATACAGATCCTACTATTACAGTGGATATCTTACTACAGTATTTTCCACAGAACTAGAATGAGATTGTATTTCTATGGCATTTTTATTATGATGAAAATGGAAAGGGTTGACCTGACCATAGCACCCCCTTGTGGTCATAACAGATTTAACTGCATGGTGTCTTTTGAAAATGGGTGTGTTTGCTGCTGTGTCCAGCTGGATTTATATTATGTGTTTGTGTGTGTGTGTTTTAACTGTTCTGGTGTGTGTTTGCAGGCAAGGCTTTCCTGAGAGCTCGTCAGATGAACGTCGACATCGGGACCTGGGTCCGACTCCTGAGGAACGCTATCCCCACTGTCAACAACACAGGAACCTACAGCCCCAATGCACACAACCTCAACTCTGGGTAATACACACACACAAGCAACTTGTACCCACCTCTACTCCTCAAATTCATCCCTCTAGTTGTTGAAGGAACTCCACATAGCATGCGATGCACTCTGGACCCTGTAGCTAAATACCCTTTTGTGTTTCCCTGTGGTCTGGATGTGTGTACGTGTGTGTGTGTTTGCATGTGTTTTCAGGGAGATCTCAGTGGAGAAACTAAGTCTGGACAGTGACTCTCCAATCAGGCATGATTACAGAAGAGACTCTGATAATAACACCCCGGTGAGAGAGGGACAGAAGAAGAGAAACCCAGTTGAATAGCAAAATAGAAATGAGTGGAACCTCACACACTCACCCACTTTATTTATCTCTCTCTCACTCCTGGCTTTGCTTCTTCCCTCCATCTCTCTATCCTCTTCTTCTCCCTCTGCTCTCTTTTTCTCAGGAGCGGTTGCCAGTGATTGAGCCCTTCTCTCCCCCAGACCTCACCCCTGATCGCCCTGCCCAAACCCCCCCTCTGAGCAGGTGTGGTCATTATGCAGACAAACGAATGCTCATTTACATACACCTACACACACGATGGTTTCACACACATAACAATGTTATATTGGCGGCTACAAGTGTCTTCAAGGCACCTCAGTTAACATATTACACACCTCTGGCCATGCTGGACAAGTCACTGTGTATACAGTATAGATCATATGTATTGTGGTAATATGTGTCTCTCTCTACAGTAAACATAAGAAACCCCTGTGCCTCCAGGACTTCAGGCTGATCGCCGTGCTGGGCCGGGGACACTTTGGGAAGGTACGCTTTTCTAACCTCCCTCTGCCCTTAGTTAAAGTCCAAATAAACACTTTGATTTAGTCTGAAATGTGACCCTTGAACCCTTTCTATTTTACCTGTCCTCTCTCTTAGGTGCTGCTGTCAGAGTATAAGAAGACAGGAAGTATATACGCCATCAAGGCCCTGAAGAAAGGAGATATTGTTGCACGGGACGAGGTGGAGAGGTACGTGTTTCTATGCGTGTGGGGACCTTTAATTTATACATGTACAAATTTGTCTTGTTTTTACATGACTGTCGGCAAAAAAAATCATCCCACAGGGCTTGAAATTGAACTCTGAAAGCACAGATCTCATTTTCACCGCCTCCATTCTTGTTTTTCTCCTCTCCCTCCCTCCAGTCTGATGTGTGAGAAGCGTATCTTTGAGACGGTGAACGTCTCCCACCACCCCTTCCTGGTCAACCTGTTTGCGTGTTTCCAGACCCCGGAACACGTGTGCTTCGTCATGGAGTACACGGCTGGCGGTGACCTCATGATGCACATCCACGCTGACGTCTTCACTGAACCACGGGCTGTGTACGTAGTCCCTGTGTGTGTGTATGTGTGTGTGTGTGTGTGTGTGTACTTTTTGAATAGGTGTCTTAAATGTTTCTGTCTCTGTCTACAGGTTCTATTCAGCCTGTGTGGTTCTGGGACTGCAGTTTCTCCATGACCACAAGATTGTGTACCGGTGAGTCAACGACACACACTACACACATCTACTCTCTTAGCGTTCCACCCAATTCCATCACCTGTCTGTAACATTTTCTATGTCCTCCCTCCTCCAGAGACCTTAAACTAGACAACTTACTGCTGGATATAGACGGATATGTAAAGATTGCCGACTTTGGACTCTGTAAAGAAGGTGAGTGGTCAGAAGTTTGTGGAATCTTTACACTTCTATGATGCATACGTCTGGATAGCTAGTGTGTGCAAACACTAATGAGTGTGTGAGTTTGTGTGTATCTGGCTGCATGCATCTCTTCCTGTCTGCATGTATAACACTGTGTAATAACATCTCTTTATAGGGATGGGCTATGGGGACAGGACCAGTACGTTCTGTGGGACTCCAGAGTTCCTGGCCCCTGAGGTCCTGACAGACACCTCCTACACCAGAGCAGTAGACTGGTGGGGCCTGGGGGTCCTCATCTATGAGATGCTGGTGGGAGAGGTGAGACGTCATCGAAAATACAAGAGCTGGACAAAATATAGCTATGGAAGGACAGAAAACATCTATTCACTCTTTATTTGAGTAGACATCTTCAATGAACATCACTTGGTAACATTTTACAGTGAACAGAAATGTACTATATTTTCCGTGATGAGACACATCCCCTTGGGTTTGCACCATCTGGTTTGTGTCTATATTGTGAGGTCTGGTATTTATAAACGGGTTTCCCACTCAACTGTCTGAGTGTATTTCTCTGCTAGTCGCCCTTCCCTGGTGACGATGAGGAGGAGGTGTTTGACAGCATCGTGAATGACGAGGTCCGCTACCCACGATTCCTCTCCACAGAGGCCATTGCCATCATGAGGAGGGTAAGTGACCACACACACACTCACACACTCAAACACACACACCATAGCTCCATGGTCTGTGGCACCTCACAGATTTGTCCAGTAATAATGTTAATGTTGTAGTTCTTGTCTCTTTAATTCATGATTTTGTTTACCTGGAAACAGCAGTTCTGATAAGACTCTCTCTCTCCCAATAACCCCCATAACTCTCTCATTAGCAAGTTTAGTATAACAGCTGGTAATTTGACTTCTATAATGGCTATCAATATTCATGTGAATGTTGTGTGTGTGTGTGTGTGTGTGTGTGTGTGTGTGTGTGTGTGTGTGTGTGTGTGTGTGTGTGTGTGTGTGTGTGTGTGTGTGTGTGTGTGTGTGTGTGTGTGTGTGTGTGTGTGTGTGTGTGTGTGTGTGTCATGAACAGCTGTTGAGGAGGAACCCAGAGAGAAGGTTAGGCTCTGGTGAGAAAGATGCTGAGGAGATAAAGAAACAGCCTTTCTTCAGGGTGAGTCAGAAATCCATGGCACCACATTTATCTTTTTCCATTTATTTTCATCCCACACTTGTTTTTTTTTTAAAGGAACATATTTTTCCACCATGATTTTGCTTTTTGTTAACCCTCTTTTTCTCTCTCCTATCTCTCTCTCTCCCTCTCTCTCTCCCTCTCTCTCTCTCCCTCTCTCTCTCCCTCCCTCTCTCTCTCCTCCAGGGTCTGGATTGGGAGGCCCTGCTACAGAGGAAGCTTCCTCCTCCCTTCGTTCCCTCCATCAAGGGCCGGGAGGACGTCAGCAACTTCGACGAGGAGTTCACAGCCGAGCCTCCCGCCCTGACGCCGCCGCGCGAGCCCCGCACGCTCTCCCGCAAAGACCAGGACAGCTTCTGCGACTTCGACTACGTCTCCGACCTCTGCTAGGGGTCGAGAGGTCGTGACCTCTATCACATCGTCATATGAGGGTCATGGGGTCACGGCAGTCTGCAAGGGTGGTCTGCTGCATCCACCACACTGTGAATGTGATGTGAGAAACTGAGAAGGGGTCTGTAGTGTAGTCTATGTCTGTCTGTGTGGGGGGATATGAACTATAGGAGATTAATGCAGACCCAGACCAAGACCCTGTGACTGTGTTGCTATGTACACTCTGTGGCTGTGGTTTTTTTTTACACTGCATCAGCATCTCACACAACTGTGAGAAGGAGCCCGTCAAGAGGACAAGTGGTTGATGGGAAATGAAGTTCTGTTACGATGAGAGACACCAATGACTATGGTTTCCAAATTATTATTCTTTTTTTTCTATATAAACTGTGACGCCCGCTAAGCTTGTGCCACCTCCTCCCTATCTAGAACACTCCAATGGCTGTGTCCTTACAATAACTTGTCATAACATGTGTAACTTCTACTACACAGTCAACCCCTTTAACTTTGCCTTCCAGTTCCATCCTCCTTTGTGCCAGTGTTGTAGTCTGCTCTGAGGATAGAGGAGGATCTCCATGTAACTTTCAGGGTTGGGGTCCATTCCATTTCAATTCAGTCAATTCAGGAAGTTAATTGGAATTGGAATTTCAGTTTATTTCCGGAATTGAAATGGAATGGACCCAAACCTGGTTCCTTCATACTGTGACAAAACAAAAATAATATTTGGGAGAGGGTGTGTGGGGTGGGTGCATGGCTTGAAATTATGCCTTACATTTCTACTGGGATCTATAGAAATGCATTTCATTTTGTTATTTTGTGGTCCTTAGTAACCAACTGTGGTCCTTGGTATGCAATAAGGGTGAGAATGTTTTACATAAATGCTAAGAGGAGAAAAGGAAGTACCTCCATCTGCCTATCAAAATGGTCGCTTGGAGGAAGTTGAATCAACAGTGTATAGAATCATCTATATATGTACTCTACATTGTTACAGTGTTGTGAACAATCACCCGTCAAGTTACCCAATTCTAGTCTTGTGTCAACAAAAGGGGTAAAGAACCACTGCTTGTGAGGAACGGTCAATTCTGATCCAACCAGATCACTAGTGCATTCACAATGGGCTGTTGTTGCCCTTATAACATTCTTTAAAATGTTCATTTTTTTATGGGATTTCAGTTATTATGGCAAAAAAAATCTAGGACGACAATGCTTTTGGTTCTGTTTTTGGTTGATAATGATGATGTTGTTGAGAAAAGCAACAGAGCGTTATTGAATTTATCCTGTTGCCTTTTAATTGGTCCAGTCTGTGAATTTTATATAAGGGTGTGTCATAATGGGGCAGTCTACTACACCTGTGACATTTGGTTATATTTGAACACACACACAAAAAGGCTGAAGGATGCATGTCTCGTTTCAAACATTTAAATATTCACACAAACGTACACACATACAAATGTGTACACACACATACACACACACAAATGTGTACACACACATACACACACACACACACACTGAGAGACTTTAATGCTCAAGGCGCTCAAATTCAATCAGTGGCATGAAGCGGAAGGAAACCCATCCAAGCAATGAATCATGCACAATGCTTCTCCAGGTTGAAGTGACTATTAAGAACGGATCTAGGATCAGTTTATTCTAACCTCATCCATTAGGAAGTGAAAAGAAAACTGACCTTACATCAGAACTTAGAGGCAGCTTCATCCTCCAACTACAACACATGCTCATCTGCAGAAGTCAATAGAAATGAATCTGTACCTCCCTTGTCTTTGTGTATGGGGGTGTGTTGTGAATCATGTTTGTCTGGCTGCAGACTACTTATGTTGTGTACGACTATACAAAAGGAAGTGAAAGTATGAGATGAGTTATTTATAAAGAAAATCTGGTGAAAAAACCTGTGTATACGGTTTACTGTGTTTGATTGGGTGTCTCATCATCAGACCATTCTCTGTCACCTCCCTGCTATTAATGCAATACTGTATCTTCTTCACAAGTAAGATGGTCATAAAACAAAAGTAATTTTTAGACAAACTCATGAAGAATATCCTGAAAGTATCAACTCATGTCCTCTCATCCACAAAACACCTTATAATAAATCACTCAAAATGCAGTTTTATTTCTATGTTTTGAATGGGACTGTGTGAGGATCTAAGAAGTAAATTGCAGGACTATGCTAATTTGGGAAAATAGTATTTATATTTTCATGATCAATTGACATGCATACTTTAGTTGATTACATTGTGTCAATGAGTTCTATGGCCCCAAAGCTTGACAGCAAGTTTTACAACATGCTATTCCAAACATGCAAGCAATCCAATTTCCTATGGAAATGTATGACCTGAGAATGTTTCACGCAGGACATTGGGACATCAGCCGTCCCTGCCTGCATAGTCCACCAGAGAGGGAGTCTAGAGCTAGCTCGTTACGCTCGATGGTGTCAGAGAGGAAGAGGCGAAGCGAGAGGATTTACTCCAATCTGTCCGCGTGAGATAAGCCCTTTTTTGTGCGGAGGAAAATGAGCGTGTCGGAAGTTGAATTACGTTATGCTTATTTGATCGAATAGAAGTTTCGTAATGTTTAGGCTATTACAAATGTATTGATATAAGTGGATGCACGTTGCATTCTGGCAACTTTGAGAAAAACTACTTAGTTGTGCACGTTCACACTCGTATCTGCCCTCTCATTGGATAGAATGGTCCCACCTGATCGTTCCTGCATTCAATCATTGAGGACATGTATTTCCATCGTTAGAGCGGTCACTCGGCTATCTTGTCAATATAATAGATAATCTTCGATAGCGCTACATTTTTCAAGATGTCGTCGCTGGAAAAGAGACTCTCCCGAATCGAGGAGAAACTAAAGCAAGAAAATAAAGAAGCTCGTAGAAGAATTGACCTCAATATCGACATGAGTCCACAACGTTCACGTCCGAGGCCAAGTGAGTAGCGTGGGGGAGTCGGTAACGGAGAGAGGACAGGGAAAATAAGTGAAAGGAGAGGCAGAGTGAGGGCAGGAGAGAGGGGGTGTAATAGGGATATGCTGCTGCTGATAGCTAACAGGCTAAATGGATAAACAAATACCCCAACTCGGGACGTTGCCCTGCCCAGAGGTGTCATGCGTGTGCATACATATCACATAAAGATTTTGAAACATTGTAAACCAGTATTTGATATCAGTCCAACGTTGTAACAGAAACAACTCAATTTAAAGCCACGTCCCGAACTGTGTTTTGGTTCTGTCCTGGCAACTGCTGTTTAGCAGCAAGCTAGCTAAGTTAGCTCTAACAGGCCCCATCATCCATCCGTCAGTCAATTTGTTGTTGTGTTAATTTCTCCACACGAAATAATTGGATTTCTATCAGTATTTGACATATGTATATCTGGTCTAATATGGTTTATTATGCAGACATGGCTTATGTAAATACATTTCTAGCGAAACTTCCAATATGATTTTGACCGAGTCAATGTTAGCCAGCCAGCTAAGCTAACGTTAGCTTTTCGAGCTAACGCAGCTTGCCAGCTAGTTACGTGAACAAACTTGCCAGCTAACGTTCAAGATAGCAAGCTACCCCTAAAAGTGTCTCTTGTAAAATCACAAATTGCACGAATATGGTGTTAGTAACTACAACGCTAAACAACAGCTGCTATCTTTTCGGTGTTTCCATTTTCTCAACCAATTCCATATGTCTGATAAGCCCCTGATTTGTTTTGCATTAATGCAGTTCTCATAGTTTGGGCATGATGGATATTTCTTTATTTAGGATGAGGCAGTCTTGAACATCTTTGGGAGATAACGTTTTGGTCATAATGTAGACGAACACCTCTGGCATAATGTGTGGACATAATATAGCTGGCTAGCTAGAGACTTTGCCAGCCAAGCCACCAAAATGCACCATGTGGAATTTATCCCAACAGACCCGATTTAGGATCAGCTTACAGCCGATATGAAGGTCAAACATTTCAAACAGGCTGGGCTCCTGCCCAATTCTTATGGGTGAACTTCATCCTGCACCATTCAATGCCAGCCACATTCAGTGTAATGTGGTGGTAGGGGTACTCAACCCTATGGTGATAGTGGTGTGTTCGCCCTGAGGTCAATTCCAATACTTTTCTATCAAGGTATTTGATGTGTTTTCTTATCACTTATTTCCCCCACCAAATCTGACAGCATGAAAGATCCAGTGGTGTTTGATTTACAACCAGCCTCATTGGAAAGCTAAAGGCATAGGAAAGCAAAGATGGTATAGAGGTAATGCAACCCTCTTATCTTTGACGAGCTCAGCATTTGAGGTGTTAGTGTTTTTTATTTTTGCACACAGCATATGTTTTGTTTTATGTTTTAGTCATTTTAGCAGACGCTCTTATCCAGAGCGACTTAGTTAGTGGGTGCATACATTTTCATACTGGTCCCCTGTGGGAATCGAACCCACAACCCTGGCGTTGCAAGCGCCATGCTCTACCAACTGAGCTACACGGGACTATCTGAGGTGCTCTGATCTATTGAACCTTCCTTCATTTTGTTCTGTGTGTGTGTTAGTATGGGGGTTGTAGTTTATTGGTGAGTCTCTGTGGGTGTTAGACAGGGTATGTGTGAGTGAGTACGTGGCAGTGAACAGTGCAGTAATGTGCACGTGTGTATTTTCTCTCCTCTGTCCAGTCATCGTGATCCAGCTCAGTCCTGCTCCAGCTCCTTCCCAGCGTGCAGGTATCATTCAATCATCGCTCTCTCTCTGCCACTGCACCCTCCATCCATCCCTCTCTTTCTCACAATCCGTTCTTTATCCCTCTCCTTTGCTCTGCTCTCTCTCCCTATCTCCATGTCACTCCTCTTATTCAACAGCAATGGAATATTTCACCCTCAGTAGCGCAGAACAGAACGTACAGAATAGCAACTTTATACATTCTTCAGATGGTTTCGCCAAACCTGAATGACTGGCCTGAATGATACCTTACCAGCACTGATCAATTCTCCTTAGATTTGAATTAAGGCCTAAATGAATTGCGGTACACAACACATAGCCTATTACAATTTATTTGTGAGAGGAGAATACATTGGCTAAGGCTATTGTTGTGTAAAAGCGATAATTTCAGATATTTAGCACACAATGGTACACAGCACACCAAAAATATTGTAAGACTATTCTGAAAGTGTGGAAGCCAAGAGGCATTTTTTTTTAGGTGGCCATTTGCACTGTATCCCTAGTTGGTCGCTACTCTCACCTCCCCTCTAATCTCATTCTCCCTCCATCTTTCCATCCCATCCCTTCTTCTCCATGTGTGAGTGCCAGTGGCAGGGCAGTGCGTGTGTATGCCTGGGTCTGCGTGTGTGTGTGAGGATATTATTAACCCCCGTTTTGCTGGATGCAGAGACACGGTGCATGTGGCTTCCTGCACGGCACGGTTTTTATTTCACAGTCTAATCCAGCTTCCCACCACCGGTTGGTTTGCAGGAGTGCTGCTGTGGCCAAACCTGACCACCTCTTCTCTTTCTCCTTTCATGTCTGAAATCTTGTCCTTCAGTCTGTCTGTCTTGTCTTCCATCCAGGCTGGGCCTATGTCTGTGTCCAAGCTGGCGTTCTCTTTGCTCTGCAGTTCAGGCTGTCTGACAGGTCCATTTCTGTCTGTCCTGTTGTGCGTCTGTCCGTCTGTTTCTTCCATGCTCTCTCTCTTTCTCAGGGACAGCTAGTGTTCTTTGTGCGCTCCTGGCATCCTGGCAATGGCATTGTGAATTGCCAGCGGTGCCTAAGTGGCTGATGTGTGTTTGTCTGGATCCAGCTGTGTGGAGGACTTTCTGGTCTTTGCTAAACCAAAAATTGCCTGAGTCTACTACTAACCCCCACTAACCGATTCTCTCCAGCGAGCAGGTCATGGCTGCAGGTGATTGAACCAGGGATAAAAGCTACTGCCTGGCGTTGGTGCATTTTTCTCTTGAAAAGGCGTTTTATAGAACTGTTCAACACTGCCTCGTTGCTTTGAAAACCTCACACAAACCAAGGGCTCCAAATGTGCCCTTTGCAAAACATCCCCACTCACAGATGAGGAATGGGGCACTCTTCACACACACCGTCTAAAACACACCATATGACATTTGTTGATTTCATCCGAATAAAATACATTGAGAACGGTCTGAACTGATGGTTTTGGGGGGGGGGGGGGGGGGGGGATTTTGGAGTCCTCTCAATGTCCTTTTCAGGGTGGTCTCACAGAGGTCAGAGTTCACTGAGAAAGCTCCAATGTTATACAGCAGAGGGTCCACTCCGTTTGGTGCTGCTAGCTAGCTACTGACTGAGCAGCAGTCTGAACGCATGGTCTGTTTGCATGGCGGGTCAAAGCTAACACTACTCTCGTAGCTGGTCTCCACTGCTCAGTGCTCACCCTGTCTATCTGCCTGTGAAGTGCCGTCTCCTTGAACAATAACACTTTTTGCCTTTGTGTCAAATGAAGTAGTAAAAATAGATTGACTAAGCAAGCCTTAAAGTTCAATTGAAGTTGTTTACCTATGCTTTGCTAATATACAGGCTACGGGTTGTCTTGCTATTGTTAATACTTGAGGAATGTCTTGTCGAAGTGTTCGTATTGTGGTCTATAGACATTCACAGCCAACCTCTGTTGGAGACTGAACTGATATCCTTCTACTTACACTGGCCTGCTCTCTGTCCGTCAAGGTCAAATTGAGCATGGACTGCTTTCATTCACTCCTTTCGAAGTCTAAATAGAAACATGGGGGAGTCCCAAATGGTACCCCTTTCTCCCCTTATACTGCACTGATTCTGACCAGGGCCCATAGGGGATGCACACACAATGTGTACAAACTGAGAGGCAATAGGTGAGACCATGAAGTAGAATGACACCGAATTGTTATAAGCCAACATATACAGTGCATTCAGAAAGTATTCAGACCCCTTCACTTTTTCCACATTTTGTTACGTTACAGACTTATTCCAAAATGTATAATAGTTTTTCTTTCTTCATCAATCTACACACAGTACCCCATGATGACAAAGCAAAAACAGGTTTTTAGAAATATTTATAAATAATAATAAAAAAACGAAAATATCACAGTTTACATAAGTATTCAGACAATTTACTCAGTACTTTGCTGAAGCACCTTTGGCAGCGATTACAGCCTTGAGTCTTCTTGGGTATGACCCAACAAGCTTGGCACACCTGTATTTGGGGAGTTTCTACCATTCTTCTCTGCAGATCCTTTCAAGCTCTGTTAGGTTGGATGGGGAGCGTCGCTGCAAAGCTATTTTCAGGTCTTTCCAGAGATGTTATATAGGGTTCAAGTCCGGGCTCTGGCTGGGCCACTGGGTTGTTGTCCCATTGGAAGGTGAACCTTCGCCCCAGTCTGAGGTCCTGAGAGCTCTGGAGCAGGTTTTCATCAAGGATCTCTCTGTACTTTGCTCCGTTCATCTTTCCCTCAATCCTGACTAGTGTCCCTGCCGCTGAAAAACATCCCCACAGCATGATGCTGCCACCTTCATGCTTCACCGTTGGGATGGTGCTAGGTTTCCTCCAGACATGACACTTGGCATTCAGGCCAAAGAGTTCAATCTTGGTTTCATCAGACCAGAGAATCTTGTTTCTCATGGTCTGAGAGTCCTTTAGGTGCCTTTTGGTAAACTCCAAGTGTGCCGTCATGTGCCCTTTTACTGAGGAGTGGCTTCCGTCTGGCCACTCTACAATAAAGTCCTGATTTGGTGGAGTGCTGCAGAGATGGTTGTCCTTCTGGAAGGTTCTCCCATCTCCACAGAGGAACTCTGGAACTCTGTCAGAGTGACCATCGGGTTCTTGGTCACCTCCCTGACCAAGGCCCTTCTCCACTGATTGCTCAGTTTGGCCAGGCAGCCAGCTCTAGGTAGAGTCTTGGTGGTTTCAAACTTCTTCCAGTTAAGAATGATGGAGGCCACTGTGTTCTTGGGGACCTTCAATGCTGCAGACATTTTTTGGTACCCTTCCCCAAATCTGTGCCTCGACACAATCCTGTCTCGGAGCTCTGCGGACAATTCCTTCGACCTCATTACTTGGTTTTTGCTCTGACATGCACTGTCAACTGTGGGACCTTTTTATATAGACAGGTGTGTGCCTTTTCAAATCATTTCCAATCAATTGAATTTACCACAGGTGGACTCCAATCAAGTTGTAGAAACATCTCAAGGATGATCAATGGAAACAGGATGCACCTGAGCTCAATTTCGAGTCTCATAGCAAAGGGTCTGAATACTTAAGTGAATAAGGTATTTCTGTTTTAAATTTTTAATACATTTCTAAAAACCTGTTTTCACTTTGTCATTATGGGGTATTGTGTGTAGATTGATGAAGGAAAAATAATAATTTAATCAATTTTAGAATAAGGCTGTAACATAACAAAATGTGGAAAAGGTCAAGGGGTCTGAACACTTTCCGAATGCACTGTAGACCTGTAACTGTCAGTGTGTTTTGAATAGCTCGTCAGTGACAGGGAGTTAATAGAATCCCAGTGCTCCAATGCTATTTGGCTTCCTTTCCTTAGGTCTTTCTCCGTGTCACTGTCGGGTCCAAGAACTAGATAGATTTCCACTACAACGCTGCCCTCTATTCAATGCTGTAAGATCAATGGTCATAAAGAAGAGCGATGAGGAAAGAGTATCATTGATTATAGTAACACTAGCCTGTCTGTTTCTGACAACGACAAGTTTCCTAAAGCAGAAACGGGCTAAAACAGACTAGCACCCAGACTAATAAAGGACAGCCACAGTCTTCTTCTTTTACCGTCCCTTCTTTATAATCCTCTCCTCCTCCCCCCAGCTCTCCAGCTGCCCCTGGCTAACGACGGAGGGGGGAGTCGCTCCTCGTCCTCTGAGAGCTCGCCCCAGCACCACTCCTACCCCAGCCGCCCGCGACACATGCTCAACCTGCCCCCGCCGCAGTATGGCCTGGTGAAGAGCCTGGAGAAGTACGACAAACACGCATGCACGGAGCATACGCGCACACAAATGTATACACATGCACACAGAGCATTCATGTTCTGGAAAGGCATACAGAAAGTGTCAAACGCTTTCATTCTCACATGCACGTCAAATGACACACCTAACCTTTGCGTGTCTGTGCTGTGTCCCCTTAGTGCAGAGATAGACCAGAAGCTGCAGGAGATCATGAAACAGACAGGCTACCTGAAGATCGACGGCCAGGTAAGAGACAATATCATAATTGGTCATTTAGCAGACGCTCTTATCCAGAGCGACTTACAGGAGCAATTAGGGTTAAGTGCCTTGCTCAAGGGCACATGGACAGATTTTTCACCTAGTCGGCTCGGGGATTAGAACCAGCGACCTTTCGGTTACTGGCACAACGCTCTTAACCACTAAGCTACCTGCCGCCCCGGCAATATCATTGCCTGAAGTGATTTATTTTTGTAATTCTCTCTACTCATTGAAATAATGTGCTGTATTGACAAGGAGACGGGACACTATTATAACCGGATATCATACACAGAGCATTATGGGTACTGTAGTACATCATGCTACATGTGCCCCGTTTGTTTGTAATTGACATGTTGTGACTCGTCACCTGTTCCCCCTCCTCAGCGGTACCCAGCTGAGGTCAGTGACCTGATCAGCGAGGGGGAGATTGGCAGCGGCACGTGTGGTCAGGTGTTCAAAGTGCGCTTCAAGAAGACGGGCCACGTCATCGCCGTCAAAGTAAGCCTCGTCCACCTCCAACCACAGCTTGTTGGCATTAAGACAACGGTAATAGTAATGTATTGCATTTAAACAGGCAGTCTGGAAGTGCTTTTTGTTGTATGGAAGGGGGCCACTTCACATTTACTACTAGCACCTCATGTCTTGAGGATGAAAAGTCTGTCCCCCCTGCCTCCGCTCTGATTCTGTTGTCCAGGATGCATTGTCTTGTTGCAGTTTGACACTTACAATACAATATACTTTATTGTCGGTTTACATGGAAATTCATTTAGTGATGTCCGCATACAAACACAACACAATATATTACATGCAGTACAGAAAAATGGAAAGTTATTACACAAGTATCATTTACATTTTCACATTCAAAGTCTCTGCGGCCTGCTGTCTGACCGTGTATTGGGTCTGCATCTGTCCTATGTCCCGCTGTTCAACACCCTGATGGAATAAAACTTGCCTTGCTCCTATTCTTGCTGAACAGTGGGACCCTTAATCTCCTTCCAGAGGGCAGCAGCTCGAAACATTAGGCCTATTCTGTTATACAAGTGCTGTGTGGATGTTCTACTGCCGCCTATTTGGGTTAAGGCCGTAGCATTGGTTTTTCCTACTGTGGCAGAACACATAATTCCATGGCAGCTGATTTGGCCAGAGGATATAACTGTTGGAGGCAGCCCTGGGCTGTTTGTCAGTTCAGTATCGCTGTTCTTTTTTCTATTGGTTTCTCTCTGGGTTTTGCCTTCCATTGTTTATCCTCACACAATGATAGTAATTATATTGTATCGTCACAGTTTCAATTAAACACTATTAAATGGGGGTTAGCTTAACTGTTTAACTATTAGGAAGTCAGTCACAACTACTCTATGGGGGTTGCTTATCCTTGGTGAACACAGTCATGGTTACAAGCACAAACAACATGGCCTACAGGGATAATGGCAGACACTGGAGCTGTAAATTATATATTATAGCTATGCAATTTAAGATGTAGAATGCTATTGTTTATTTCGATGTTTTGTACAGCCTTAACTGGCTGGTATAAACTTTATAATCTGTGTGTTCTGTTCTTAAAATACATAGGCCTACCTCTATGGTTATATCATATACAGTTTCTCTTTACCATCTGGTGACTAAATAGATGAGGAGGGGGGAATAGGTTTGGATGAGGTGGGAGGGGGGATAGGTTTGGATGAGGTGGGAGGGGGATAGGTTTGGATGAGGTGGGGGTGTTGGATGAGGTGGGAGGAATAGGTTTGGATGAGGTGGGAGGGGGATAGGTTTGGATGAGTTGGGAGGGGGGGATAGGTTTGGATGAGGTGGGAGGGGGGATAGGTTTGGATGAGGTGGGGGGAGGTTGGATAGGTTGGGAGGGTGGTTGGTGAGTGGGGGGATAGGTTTGGATGAGTGGAGGGGTGGTTATGGGGAGGGAGGGGATAGGTTTGGATGAGGTGGAGGGGGGTAGGTTGGATGTGGGGGGGTGATAGGTTGGATGAGTTGTGGGTGGGAGGGGATAGGTTGGATGAGGTGGAGGGGGATAGGTTTGGATGAGTGGGGGTGTTTGGATGAGGGGGGGATAGGTTTGGATGATGGGGGGGGGATGGTTGGTGGGTGGAGGGGATAGGTTTGGATGAGTGGAGGGGGATAGGTTTGATGAGGTGAGGGGGATAGGTTTGGATTTGGAGGAGGGAGGGGGGGGTAAGTTGCTGGAAACAGCTGATACTCTGGAATGAGGTAGGTTACTATGGTTACCCAGAGACAGATTGGACTATGAAGCACTTTCAATGGATAATCTCCTTTAAATCTCCTTTTTAGTCTAGGATTAGTCCTAATCTGTGTCCGGGAAACCGGCAGTATGTGATTGGCCAATGGTTAAGTGCAGACAGCTGTGTGGGGTGGGCGGCGTTGTAAATTAGTGGTGCCATCCGGTTGCTTGAAGTTCTCTTCCCTCAACTAAAATATCAACGTTGAATATTGATGACTGATTTATTGTGGGTGTGTGTCACCAGCAAATGCGCCGGACAGGAAACAAGGACGAGAACAAGAGGATTCTGATGGATCTGGATGTGGTGCTGAAGAGCCACGACTGCCCTTACATCATCCAGTGCTACGGCGCCATAGTTACCAACGTGAGTCACACACAGATAATTTAGTATGTCACATCATTTAAACCACATTTATTCTGATTGACAGAAATAGCTTCTTTCTTGTAGCAGTTTCACTTTTCTGTTTAAAATGCCAATGCTATGTGACTGACTGTGATTGGTCCTCAGACGGATGTGTTCATCGCCATGGAGCTGATGGGGACGTGTGCTGAGAAACTCAAGAAGAGGATACAGGGACCCATCCCTGAACGCATCCTGGGCAAGATGACCGTGGCAGTGAGTCTCTCTCTCTCATCTATTATCTCTTGCTCTCTCACACCCTCAATTCAGGCTTTGAACCGAAACTCAAATGATGAATAAAAAATTGCCCTTCATTTTCAATTAGGATTCTATTTGATCAGTTCATCTCCTGAATTTAGTTAAAAATGGAATTGACCCCATCCCATAAAGTGTTGTTTACCTTCTCTTCAATGTAGTAGTGTGTACCGGCTGTGTGTCTACAGATCGTGTCGGCTCTGCTGTACCTGAAGGAGAAACACGGTGTGATCCACCGGGACGTGAAGCCCTCCAACATCCTGCTGGACAACAAGGGCCAGATCAAGCTGTGTGACTTTGGCATCAGCGGACGCCTCGTCGACTCCAAGGCCAAGACCCGCAGCGCCGGCTGTGCTGCCTACATGGCTGTGAGTCACCTTGGTGGACACACACACCACCATTACACCCTACCACGTTTAACCTACCGAAGTGAAGGCAGCCATTTTGATGCTAAAGCGCCACTATTTCTCCACCTGGGTTGCTCATAACTCTGTAAAAATGCTGAATGCTGCTGTTCTCTGTAAATGTTTTTAATTTCCCTGTGTATTGGTACAATAAATGCTGTTTCCCCCTAACCCAAGCCTGTTTCTCTGCGTGTCCCCAGCCTGAGAGAATAGACCCTCCAGATCCCAGCAAGCCTGACTATGACATCCGAGCAGACGTCTGGAGCCTGGGCATCTCTCTGGTAAAACACCTACACTACTACATCACACCCTATTCCCTATGAAGTGCACTTCTTTTGGTCAGTCCTGTGCCTTCGTATGTGGCCCTGGCCAAACGGTGAGAGCTTTACCTACCTTCTACACTTTGACACTTCTCAATGTCCCGTCATCCATCTGAAAGGATGGGTGTAAGCAGTGTTATAACTTGCTCCATCAAGCCCTTTGGTAGTCTAGGTGGACTTTCCGCCATATTGTTTACACCCATCCAGCTTTTCACATCTACAAGGGAGCATGAAATACTGTCTAGGTTAGGGGCTAAGGGTTGATTTCTAAACAGTGAAGAGGTTTGATAACTAGTCTTAGTAACCTGTCGTTGTGAGTGTAAAGGCTGGTTTACAGTCAGTCTATCGACATGTCTGTAGACAATTTTCGTAGCGACAACATGAACTTTCTTTTGTCGTCCAACATCAAACTTGTTGTCGTTATGAAAAAGTATAAACACAAAACGACATCAGCAGCCCGGTGCTCCAAATAGCATACTTTCTCTATTTTAATGCCGATTAACGCTGTAATGTGTCGTCTCGGCCTGCAGGTGGAGCTGGCCACAGGACAGTTCCCCTATAAGAACTGCAAGACAGACTTTGAGGTCCTGACCAAAGTGCTGCAGGAAGACCCTCCCTCGCTCCCCCTCAGCATGGACTTCTCCCTTGACTTCCAGTCCTTCGTCAAAGACTGGTGAGACAAAACGCACACACATTGTGACTCATTGAGATAGTTTATTAATTTTTGTGGTCTTACTGCTCTCAAAACCATTCTCTAGTGAAAGGACAGTTGCTAAGTAATATCACGTGCTTTGTCTATGTTAATTTTTCCGTCATTGACTGCCTCTTTCCACAGCCTCACAAAGGATCACAGAAAAAGGCCAAAATACCACAAGCTGCTCGTAAGTCTCTCCTCTCCAGCTATTCACCACCACTCTAAATCGTGATTTGGGATTACAAGAAAGGGACAGAAAGAGAATAATATTGTCTGAATGAAATGTTTATTAGAAAGAAAAATCTGTACATTAGAGAGAAAGGGAATGGACGCAGTGTTCTAACTCTCCTCTCTTCTGCTCTTCCCCCTCCCCACTCCCTCTCACTGTTATCCCTCCCTCCCCCCCCTCCCCCAGGAGCACAGTTTCATTCGGCGCTATGAGGTGCTGGAGGTGGACGTGTCGGGCTGGTTCCAGGCAGTGATGGAGCGCACTGAGTCACCGCGCAGCAGCCAATGTTACAGCCAGCACCAGCTCCACTCGCTCTTCAGCAGGTAGCCCCCAGCCACTGGCCCCGCCCCGGAGCCACTGGATCCTGCAGCCGGGAGACCCCGGAGAGGGACGTAGAGTTGGAGACACGGAGTAGGCCTATAACCCTAGACAGACAGACTGGCTCGGTGGATTGATTGATTGATTCTGGATCAGGACAGACAGACACGGGGGAGCGTAGTGCTTCACACTGTAGTTAGGCGTCATAAGAAGTCATATCAGCACACGTACATTATTATCGTGAACACCTCAGCACATACTGTAGGTTAGTCTGTATCCAGAATGCATGCTCACTTGTCCATCCGTTAGATACTGACGTACAGTAGTGATACTGTAACTGCATTTACATGGTTAAACACATACATAAATACTACTCACTCACTAGTCATATCTCGCTCGCCTGTATAATCTTGTTCAGCTCCAGCTCAGGCCCTAGTCATAGCTATGGGGTCTGACAACAGAGTAGTCGATACACACTGGAGCAGATTTCTGCTACATCATGTAGTGTTAAGACAATGTAAGAGTCCCTACGGCAAGCCCAGAGGCCCAGTTTCATCCACAGTGATGGCTAGGCTCAGAGGTGGAAGGTTCAGTGCAATATTCAGCCGGGTATTATTATTTCTATACTTACTCTTCAACAGGTTGTGTGTGAGTTTGAGTGTGTGTGCGAAGACACAAGGGGAAGTGTGACTTTTCTGGATGGCATATAGCTGTCCCACTAGTTCTAACACACAAACTAGACCCGCTGTATTTGTAGATGAGCGAAACATTAACTTTGATTCAAATGCTTAAAGAGAATATGGACAAGTACATGTTCTAGCAGCTTTGAATTGGAAAAACCTGCGAAAAATACAAAAAAAAGTAGGGTTATGCGTAGCTCTGTAGAAAAGGTGTTTTGTATTTATTTTTTGAGTTCAGGGTGGTTTTGAGTGGAACTGGATAACAGGTGGGAGAGATGGAGGGACACAAAGGAGGAGAAAAGGATGAGGGGAGGAGGACAAAATAGTCTGCCTTTAATCGGGCCCCACCTGCTGTGGTGAAACTGTACTGCCAGGTAGATGAGGTTCAAAGCAGTGTTGCTTATTGTTGAAGAGGAGTGTTAGAAAAGAAAACCGTCTGGAGGATAACTGAGGGGAGGCGTGAGTTATTTTTGGCAAGAGACAGGAGCTTGCCCTTTACAAAGAATACAATTAGATATTGTCTGGAGCATTTCAACCCTCCTGCTTTCTGCCTTTTCTCAATGGCACTCAGCCACTCACCCTCGCTCTTCTTTCTTTCATTCTTTCTGCTGTTCCGTCTTTTAGAGGCTCCACAGTTTTGTCAAACCAAATGTGGAGGGTGTCACACAAGGCCCTCTCGTTGCTCCTGACTGTTGCCTCCCCTCCTGCAGGGCCAGAGCCAGGTAGAGAAGACTACCCCTCTAGCCTGAGCATTACGAGTTGGCACGACGGCACAGACAGATCTGGGAGCAGGCTAGACTTCCCCAACACACACCAAGCCAAATCACTGCTAGACACAGACGATAGGAGAGGGAGATCAACGGTATGTCAGAGAAATGGAGAGAGGGAACTGGAAACGTCGACTATGAATATGTGCAGAAGAAGAGCTAGGGAGCGGCAAGGAGAGGAAAGAGTTGGATAAAAATTATTTGGGATGAAAGGATGAGGCAAAAAGGAGCAGAGGAAGAGAAGGATATGAAAGTGAGACAGAAGGTCAAGAGATGTAAGCGACAAAGGGAAGGGCCATCTAGAGCTAGTGAGGGAGGAGTGACTGAGCAGGGAAGTGAGTGTTTGATAATGGAGAGATGTAAGAAGGAGAGAGAGTTTGGAGCCCTGCATTCAGCCATAGGCAGCCATAGGCAGCCAGGCTATGGATCAGATGCTGAAGCTAGCTGGACATTGTAAAAGCTTTCAATGGTGTTGCACCAATATACCAATTATGATTTTAGGGAGTGAATTAGGATTTGTGTTTTGTTTGTTTGCTCTTCTATTCATTATTGTATCTTTCAAAAAAATATTTAATTATTTATTACATTGCTACTACTGCTGCTAAATTTTTGCTTTTCACTCTGCTGTTGATAATTTTCCCCCAAAGGACAAATATTTTCTTCTTTTTAAACCAGCACCATCACTCTCGCTCTAAATGCCAATACTTTCGGGTATGCTTTCAACCCAATATACTACACCTATCTGTCCTCTCTCCTCCACATCCTCATAGTTTCTTACCTACCTATCAATCATCTTCACCCACCTCTCTCCTCGGCCGACCACACTTCCATTCACTCAATACATTTAACGAACCCCCCCCCACACTCGGAAACACCCACTCGCCCCGCCCCAGCCCTTACATTGTCCCCCTCTACAGTTCCAAATACAGAAAAGCAAACAAAGTCTAAATCTGCCGGCGTAGTTCTCCAGCACCCTACTGGAGATCTCCCTTACCCCATGCCCCAGCTGCCGCCACCTCCAGCTTTTGCCCCCATTCAGCAGACCGGCAACATCGCTCCTCTTCATGTCCGTGGAGCCAATCCCCAGGTAGATCCGTATCCGCTCTATGGACCCTCCCCATAAGCTCTTGACTTGCGGTGATAAAATCACCCTCCCAAACACCTCCACATTAAGCTATGACGATACGATGATTCATAATTGCAACTTCCTCACACTTCAAAACCTTCTTATTTCCGGGAAAGTATCTGAATCGATTATGGGTCCCAGTAATAGCCTCTCTATCTCGTACCGTGGGTCCATCTTACCTTTTTTCAATAACCGTACCTCCATCTTCAAATCTATTGTAGATTTCACCCACCTTACTGTTATAACCCCCCCCTATCTGCCTCTCAGCCTTGCCTTCCCCATCCCAAATACCGGTTTGTACCCCTCTCTTTTTAATCCTCATGCTAGCCGTCGCTTTCCTCCTTTTTTTTCTCAACCCGCGTTCCCCTCTCACCTTCCTCCCTCCCCCTCCATACTTCTTCTTCGAACATATCTCATGCTGTGGCTTTCTCGTTGCCTATCTCATAAGACACGTCTAGGGTCGTACCTACCGTTAATATTCTACCACCACTGTCCGTTACTCCCAACCTCAACACCTCACCGCCTCTGTATCCCGCTAGCAATGGGTGACCACTATACCCAACCAATCACTGAAGATTGATTGCCCTTTGAACCGATTATGTCCCCACACTCATCTCCACACCCATCAATTTTTCTCACACCACGCAATCCCCACCCTACCGCGTTCACATGCCTTACTTGATCCCCTAAATCTCCCTCATTGCATCTTAAATTATCGTCCTATCATCCTTACTCGCTGCGTTCTACTTATCCCCCAAGCCCCACCGAGTTCTTCGCCGCACTCTCCACACCCGCACTACCCAAATCTCCGCCTTACCTCCCCGCCCCCTACTCTCGCCAAAGGACTCACTACTCTCCCTAGGTTACCCCCATCCCTTCCCCTCCACCCCCCATGGGCTGTTCACACACACCCTTCCCCCTCACGCTCACTCGTCCCTACCGTCCACCCCCTAGATCATACCCACGCTCCTCGACCCCACTGCAGCGCTGTTCCTCCCTCTCGACCCGCCCTCGTTATCCCCCATTTGCCACTCCTCAAACACATCCTCCCAAACGCTCTTACCTTTTTTTTTTACCCAACCCCCTCCTTTCCATCAATGTCTCTACTCCTCTCTCCTTCCCTCACTCCACTTGCTTCTCTTCCATCAATCAGTCCATCAGATTATCCTCCGTCCACTCATGTCCCCCATGTATCCCCCCTTACTTTCCTCCGCTCTCCTTCAAACACAACTCGGTCCCATCCGTTCTCTCCTCTGCAGTTTTCTCTCAAGGAGGAGGCGGGGAGAGGATATCCCCAAATCACCGCACTTTGCCCCTACTTTGTTATCACCTCATCCTCTGACTCTGTCCCTTTTTTTGTATACTTCGCTCTGAGAAAAATCTCTTCAGTTCACTACCCTGACCACCCTACAGCTTTGCTCTTCTCCTGCTAATCCTATCCCTTACCCCACACCCACTAACATCTCTGACTGTCTCTTCCCCAACTTACGCATTTATCTTTAACTATCTACATTTACTAGTACACCCGAATCACTTCCAAAACCGCCTTCATGTTCACATTTCGCAGGAGTCTCACACTTACGCAAGAACCTCATGAGTCTACTAGTAGAGGCCTTTACGGTTACCTCCTACGTGAAGCTTCTTGTTTCCTACTAGCACATATTTATTGTTACCTATTGTTTTCCCTCTCCCAAAGCCAACCACTTATCTCCTGTTTGCGGGCCTCACCTGTGGTAGCAGGTCGGTATCCCCACACTGCTGCTCTTCCTCCTACTTCTCCACTCTACTATTTCTTGTACTATGTTTTTACCTTCCTTCCTCCTCCCTTCCTGCACCTCACTTCTCCGCAGAATTTTCTCCCCTCTATTAAAGGTCCCCTCAATTTTCCCCACTTCGCTATCTCCCCTTTGTCAACCGCGATTCTATATCTCCCTCCCCCTCCCCTTCCCACTCCTCTTCATATACTCCCAGACTCTACCTCCTACCCTCCCTTCTGTGCCTCCTATACCTTCTTCCTGGTCTCTCTATTGGTGGTTTAGTTTCCATCCACCCAATATTCTAGCTTGCCCTTTTTTTTTCCAATCCCTTTCCACTCCCTCTCCCCCGGTCTAATACTCCTGTCCTTCCTCCAGACTCTATTTTACGGGTCACAATACATGTTCGGAGCACCCGGCAGTCATCGTAGAAATCGGATGTAGCAATCAAAGATCGGAACTCTAAGCGAGAGAGAGGGGCTGGACTTTTTGACTTCTCGCCTTCCCTCCCCCGTTCTGTCTCCCAGGGAAGCAGCGCACCCCTCAGCCCCCCCCCCCCTCCCCCCCTACCCATTATTGCGCCGAGACAGGGCCGCCGTCCCAGGCGCCCCTGATGTCCAAGCTCCCTTGGAGTCTCTGTGATGGAGCATTTCATAGTCACTCACTGATGTACTGTTTTTCCAGCGGTAAACACTGCACACTTTGCAAAGTGATCATTTCCACATTTCAGTACACTGTTTTGCCTTAGCTGGGCCAATTCCCCGTTCCGCCTGGCACTTGTGTATCCACAAAAGTATCCCAATGTTTTGGGGACAGTTTGGAGGTCTGGGTCGGCTGTTTGTGGAGTGCTGTATGTCTCGTTCTGAACATGCTCTCCTGGGGGCACTGGAGGTGTGCTTTGATAGTCTGCATGACTTCGCGTGGCCACTGCGGTTCACGTGATGCGCTGGTGCTGTACGCCCTGAAATTGAATGAATGGTTTTCATACTGAACCTGTGTTAGCTCGTGAGATCTGGCTATGTCGATAGCTTTGTCCAGCGTTAACTCTGATCCAAACATTCAAAGTCTCTTCACTCGCTCGGTGCATGATTCCAAAACATACGGGGGGGGTTCCCTTTCTGACCATCTCATCCTTGTTTGCATAATCACAGTCTTTCACAAGCGACACAGCTCAGTGAAAACTGTTCAAAACGATTCACTAGGCCTGTGTACTTTTCATGTGAATGTTGTACCTAGCGACAAAGAGTGTATTGGTCTTTGGCAAACCATATGCTTCGCAAAACGATCGATGCGTAGGTTTCAGACCTTTGATTCAGCATCGGTAAGTGTCATGTGTGTAAAGTGTCTTCTCCCTTGTTTCCCGATCCAGAGGAGCAGTAGATGCACTTTCCCTCTTATACTCTTCCTTCAGAGGACCCGTTGACAAATCCAGCCCACATTGTGTTTGAACTTACGCCATGCATCGGGTATAGATTTGTGAGAACCCCAATCCATTCGCGGGTTTGAAGGAACTCCAGCAAAATCCATCTTTTAGTCATTTACTATGACACCAGTCGTTTTGTAGCGCTTTGTACAAAAATAATAAAATGCAGGACGACAGGATATTTATAAACGTAGCTCTGTATTAAACTAGAATAACTTGCATGCCATGTTGGTCTCG